ACTTGTTGGGTCTTTCCCAAAAAGACTCATGGCTGTATTCGATCAAAAGGGTGCTTCTACTAAATACTGAGCAAAGGGTCTGAATACTTAGGACCATGTGATATTTCAGTTTTTCTTTTTTAATAAATCTGCAAAAATGTCAACAATTCTGTGTTTTTCTGTCAATATGGGGTGCTGTGTGTACATTAATGAGGAAAAAAAATTAACTTAAATGATTTTAGCAAATGGCTGCAATATAACAAAGAGTGAAAAATGTAAGGGGGTCTGAATACTTTCCGTACCCACTGTATAGTAACATGAATCAAGATCAACCAATGGAATATGGGAAACCTGTTCGACAACAGGTATTATTCTGGCAGTTTTGCAAATGCATCAGATTATGTCAACATCACTGCTTGTTGACTTTAAGATGACTCTTACCCTGGTTGTGCTTCGTGCCAAATGGCGGGTTCATGATGACCGTGTCAAACTTCTTGGCGTAAGAGGATCCAATAGAGCAAACATCGCACTGGACCGTGTCAATGTTTGACAGTTCAAAATCCTCAACATTTCCTTTGAATATGTCCAAGGCGTATTCATCAATGTCAAATCCGACACACAGTCTTAAGAGGGAAGATTGCAGTTATGTAGATATATTTTAAAAACTAGAGTAATTCTAGGCCACGGATGGAAGGATGGAGTTGGTCTTACCCAGCATCAAGCACTGCAGCTCCTACAGACAGAACCCCACATCCACAGCCCAAGTCTGCAACTAGTTTATTCTGTATGTCATCAAATGTGTTGTGGATGGTGTACAACATACAGCCTACAGTGAGTGAGAACACATAGAACAACTGGATGGTGTCTTATGATAAATTGTTAAAGGGTTAGTTCACCCAAAAATGAAAATTCTGTCATTAATTACTCATCCTCATGTCGTTTCAAACCTGTAAGACCTTTGTTCATCTTCGGAAAACAAATTAAGATATTTTTGATGGAATCTGAGAGCTGTCTGACCCTGCATAGACAGCAACACAACTGAAATGTTCCCAAGTTCAGAAACGTAGCAAGGGGATCTGTAAAATAATCCATGTGACATCAGAGGTTCATCCGCAATTATACGAAGCTACAAGAATACTTTTTGTGCGCAAAAGAAATTATTTTTTTTTTTCAACAATTCGTCTCCTCCGCATCCCCCTGGTGCCATTTTGGAGAATATCCGCTGGATGTACACAGTGTACTGTTCTCTGTCAGCTGCGTCACACGGATACACTGTTTCCGTTCAGATCAAATCACAACAACGTTAGAAACAGATCCGGCGTGACGCAGACCACCATTTCTCCAAAATGGCGCTACAGGGTGATGCGGAGGAGACGAATTGTTAAATAAATTTGTTTGTTTTTTTTTCTTTTGCGCACAAAAAGTATTCTTGTAGCTTCGTATAATTGTGGATGAACCTTTGATGTCACATGGATTATTTTACAGATCTCCTTGCTACGTTTCTGGACTTGGGAACATTTCAGTTGTATTGCTGTCTATGCAGGGTCAGGCAGCTCTCAGATTCCATCAAAAATATCTTCATTTGTGTTCCGAAGATGAACGAAGGTCTTACGGGTTTGAAACGACATGAGGGTGAGTAATTAATGACAGAATTTTCATTTTTGGGTGAACTATCCCTTTAAGACTAATAGGGCACTCAAGGCCATCTGTCCCAGACAAAAGACTCCCAAATGTTCAATAAAATGATGAATTAAATATTCATACACAATTTCTAAAATGTATAATGCCTACTATTTTTAAACAGTATATTTTTAGTTTTTAGTATATTTAAACAGCATATTTAAACAGTATGCAATATACATTATGCATTTGAGCTTCATATCTACATCAGATGATCAAGTGATCCTGCTCATATCAGACTGTGTTTCTGTAGGTCATAGTAATGTTAACTGATGAGAAACGTCGATGATCATAATGGCACCACCGATGATATAGTGTAGGTGATATAGTGACTTTCTTCAAGTAGAATCAAATCTGAAAACATGTAGCGCACTTGCATGTGTGTTCTACTTCTTCTATTTCTGCAAGCTGATCTTGTCAGCTGAGAGTATTAGCGCTATCTTCTGGCTGATTACTGCCATGGCGCACAGTCTTCATTATGATCCGGGCTGTGTTTCTCAAAAGCATCGTACATACAGACAAAACAGAAAAGGTAAGAAGCATTATTTGAGAAAAGGGCATACTAATGTAATGGGGGTGGGTGGGTGTATACCTTGAGAAAGTATATTTATTTATAAAGTTTTTTCTATGAAGTAAAAATGCATATAATGCAGTTAATAATACATGTAAAAGTTAATACATTTTAAATGGTTATTTTAAGTAAATTAATAAATCAAAACAAACGTAACGTCTCTAATTTGCGTAAGAATTGTCACGTGACGAATCTGCATTTTGGTGGATAATAGACTTAACGGTAATGCTTGCCTGTTGTGTGGAATAAAATGATGTTCCGCGTTTTTAACAACATACACAAACTGCAGAGAAATCTGGAGACAACGAAAAACTCCGATGAAGATATTAATGCCGTGCTCAATGATTCCGGACTCGGACAATCAGATAAAGGTGATCCACAGGACGCAGCAGGTTTAGCCGCACACTACTTTTATGCCGACCATTTACATCCAAATGTTATTTAATTTTCACAGAACACAACCTTTAAATAGATTTTAGAATATAAACGGTTTATCGTCTATTCAGTAAGACTAAATAAAAAGTGTGCGCCTCATTGTGCATTAACTAGAATCAAGCCCAACAAATGTCTGTTTTAAAAACAGTGGATGAGTAATTCACTCCTTGATTTGCTTAATAAAAGCCTCCTTTGAGATCGTATTGACAGACACGTTTATTGTGCATTTTAAACGTGTTTATTGCTAAGTTTAGTGTAGGAAAATAGAAGCGCAGCTGTAATTCGCGTGCAGTGTATGTGGTTACCATGACAACCTCATGCACTTGCCACTGCTCTGTGAATATGTAGATTTACTCTAGCAAAACTAAAATGTGTTTAAAAGTATGTCTGACCAAATCCACCGGTTCGGTTTGGCCCCCCCAAACTCAAACGTCAAGCTACGCCTATGATTACCACCAATGGAGCTACGATCAATTTAGGCTTAAGATGCTTTTGGGAAACACAGCCTATGTCATTTCACTTGTTGCCTTTTTACTAACATAATAACATGAAAAATGGCAATATATTAAGAAATATTCTGGTGTTTCTTATTTTTATCGTTTTAGGGCCCGAGCACCGATGGTGTGAGGACCCTATCGGAATTGCTCCATTTCTTCTTCTTCTTCTCCAAAGTGAATTGCATTTTTGAGGCCCTAAACATTCTGAAACTTTGCACATGCGTCACAACTGGTGAAAATTTACATCTGATATGGGTTTCAGAAGTGGGTGTGTCAAAATGGCTCGATAGCACCCAGTGCTCTGCGGGGGAGGTACGGAGCTTCCCCAAAATTTTGAGGTGAAAATGAGGACGAATGTTAACAAAATTCACAATTAATTTCAGTTCATGTCTCAGAATGTTTCTTTTTGTTTGTAATTTCACAGTTGTAATACCGTAACGTGAAAGCGCCACTTTTCTATCGCGAATGTGCCGAATCTGCTGATGTAATTACAACCGCTACGTCCGAAAGCTCTAAAATGCTGCCTTCGAAGGCATCAAGGCACGTCCGAATCCAAATTCTGCTTTACTTCCTGTCTCCAGAGGTACCTTCTTCTGATCGAATTTTGAAGGCAGCATAGATGTATCCTTCGCTGCCTTTAATAGGGACTTTAAGCAACAACAGCTGATGGAACGGCAACGGCAAAGAAAGTGCGATTGCGCATGCGCGACGTTAAGCGCTACTTTGTGACATGTACATTGTAACGGTCTACTACGGGAGTACAGCTAATTTGCCGTAGTCGCTACTATGTGACAGATTAAAAGGCGAGTATATTTTGCATGGTAAATCTAGGTTTTTAGACGTATTGGTATCATACAAGACTAAAAACTCTTCTTCTGACAACAAGTTGTCGTTTAATGCCAAAAACATGCTTTCTCTTGCCCCTTTAAATGACATTTTTTGTTATGCTAATGATAAATGATTGAATGTTTCACCGTCCTCTCGGTTGTTGCTGTTGCTTAGTGATTTTTGCACTCTTTGGCTACGGCAGTTAACAGTTTATGTCAGATCGCCTTTGCCGTTCCATCAGCTGTTGTTGCTTAAAGTCCCTAGGCTACTATCATAGGCTACGTTCACACTGTCAATTTTTGGGATTGATAACCGCATTTTCTTTACAGGTGTGTGTCGAAATATCCCGTTCACACAGCAGCTTACAGTTGTGTTTAGAATACTGTCTGTATGAACGTGCAACAGGAGTCAAGCCTGTATTCCTTATCAGTAACCATAGCGACAGTAAAAGTAAAATCAAAGATGGCAACGTCCATAAAACTGAAAGTCTTATCACTTTCTGACACGACAAGAGTCCAATCGAGCCACGAGTTCATCCGTCAAATCTTCATTAACCGACAGCAGCTTTTAGATTTGGGCGGACAGCGGAGTATTTGAGTCGCACGCAGAACACATTCCAAAACTGACGGGAGCGGCTCCGGTGGAAAACTGACGGGATCTAAAAATTTCAGGTGACAGACACGCAGCTCATTTCTCCGTCACTGTAAGTTACGAAAACACACATGAAAACACGTAACACACGTTAAACATGCGTTTGTGCGGCAGAGCGGCTCTCTCTCTCTCACTGTATGATGTGACAGACAGCTAGTTGTCCAGTCCGGTTCCGTTCACACAGCGCGTGTGTTCCGAGAATGCAGTTGTGAATCCTGAAAATTTACGGGTGTGAGTTCGGTTACAGAATGCGGTTGTCACACCCGTAAATAACTGAACTGTGTGCGAACGTAACCGTATTAAGGACTCAAATAGAGGACTGACAACCGTATTTTGCTGCTGTGTGAATGTTGTGATGATATCAATTGATTGTGCCTGTTACTCTAGGAAGCCACTAAATGGCACTGTGTTAAGTGTTATGTGTTGGATACATGGCAATTAAGAAAGAAGAAAAACAAACTTGGGTTGTGTTGTTAAGATGAATAAAGACAGACATGTTAAGACTGCACTGAGAGACATTTTATTTAAGGACTGAACAAAACATGGTACCAGGAGTGAAATCAAACTAAGAGCAGTCTGTTGTGAAAGCGACATAATGGATACTCTAAAACCACCGGAGAACTTGAAGCTCATGGGAAATGTTGACAGCAACTGGTTCAGTTTCAAGCAGCAATTTGAGCTATACATGGCCGCTAACGGGATGGACACAAAGCCAGAAGCACGTAAGGTTGCTTTACTACTGACGATTGCTGGTCCACAGGCTATTGAAGTGTATAATACTTTCGTCTTTAATGAGAATGAAGATAGAAACAAGCTTGATGATGTGCTGGCCAAATTCACTGCTCATTGTTTGCCCAAAAAGAATGAAACGTATGAAAGTTGTGTGTTTCATTCACGTGTGCAGCAACCGCATGAAACATTTGATAACTTCCTGACTGATTTGAGACTAAAGGCTAAGACATGCAATTTTGATCAGCTAAATGATTCAATGATAAAAGATCAGATTGTTTTTGGCATCTATGATGCAAAACTCAGACAACGCTTACTGAGAGAAACAGAGCTCACTTTGCAAGAGGCAATTCAAATTTGTCAAGCCAGTGAACTTGCTCAACTTCATGTGAAAACATTTGGTGAAATGATGCCAAAAAGCATGTCTCCAAGTGCAGATGCTGCAATTGGTGCCGTATCTTTCAAAGAG